GACTGTTGGAGAGTGTGCACTGTGGGCCCGGGACGAGTTGGCTTCTAAGCAGGACAGGCAGCGGCGGCATCTGGCAGGCCTGATAAATGTCCTTGGCGGGCAGCATGTGGCCTGTGGGCTGTAGTTTGAGGACACCTGATCTAGAGGCTCTACTAGAGAAGGATCTGCTTCCTTCCTTGACTGGTTGTTAGTAGCATTCAGTTCCTTTTGATTGTTAGCTAAGAGCTTCTCCCCACCCAGCCTCAGCTGTCAGCTGGGGCCCAGATCTTAGTGACTAGATGGTGCTTGCAGTTCCATGTGGAGTTCTACATCATGGCCACTTGCTCACTCACAGCCAGCAAGGGAGAGAGACTCCAGCAAGATGGGCCTTACAGTCTTCTGTAAGATAATCATGTATCTCCCATCACCTGTGCATATACTGTTGATTAGAAGTAAGTCACAGTCCCTGCCCACACATGAGAAGAGAGAGGGCATCACACAAGGGCATGAATACCAGGAGGTGGGGATCATGGAGGCCACCTGTCAGTGGCCAGTCTGCCTCCCACAGGCGGTTACTGGTTACTGTGGCTATAGAACAATCACTCTTTTCCTGATTTTGTGGATGTAGAGCAACCGTGGTGGCATACACTGCTGTTGGGAATTTAAAATGGTAACACTTTGGAAAATGGCTTGGCAGTTTCTTGAAAAGTTGAACACTTACCATATGATCCAGCCATTCCACTCCTAGTTACCCAAGAGAAATGAAAACAACCCACAGAAAGACTTGTATATAAATGTTCATAGCAGCTTTATTCATAATATCCTCAAAGTAGAAATGATCTAAATGTCCATCAACAGATGAGGGGATAAACTAAGTAAGATATATCCATATAGTGGAATATTTTTCAGTAATAAAAAGGAACAGACTAGTTATATACACAACAATGTAGATGATTCTCAAAACCATCATGCTGAAAGAAGCAGGCAAAGAAAGAGTACTTCCTGTATGATTCCACTTATATAACATTGTAGAAATGCAAATTAATCTGTAGTTCTCAAAAGCAAAGCAGTTTTGCCTAGAGTGAGAGGTAGAGGGAGAGATGGACTTCAAAGAGACACCTGGAAACTTCTGGGGGTGATGGATATGTTCTGTATCTTAATAGTGGTGGTGGTTCATAAGTGTACACATCTGTCATACTCAAATTGTGCACCTTAAAAGAATGCACTTATCGTAGGCCGGGCGTGGTGGCTCACACTTGTAATCCTAGCACTCTGGGAGGCTGAGGCGGGAGGTCAGGAGTTCAAGACCAGCAAGAGCGAGATCCCATCTCTACTAAAAATACAAAGAAATTAGCTGGACAACTAAAAATATATAGAAAAAATCAGCTGGGCATGGTGGCACATGCCTGTAGTCTCAGCTACTAGGGAGGGTGAGGATCGCTTGAATCCAGGAGTTTGAAGTTGCTGAGAGCTAGGCTGATGCCATGGCACTCTAGCCCAGGCAACAGAGTGAGAGTGTCTCAAACAACAACAAAAAAAGAATGTAGTTATTGTACCTAAATTATAACTCAAAAAATTTTATTAAGAACACAAATTAAATGAGATTCAACAGAGACATTTGTAGTTCTACACACTTGGAAGAGGAAGTAATGCTGATATTGAGTACAGGTAATTTTGAACAAAATTTTCTTTGAGACAGAGTCTCACTCTGTTGCTGGAGCTAGAGGACCATGGCATGAGCCTAGCTCACAGCAACCTCAAACTCTTGGGCTCCTGGGCTCTAAGCTCCTCGGCTAATTTTTTAAACATATATATATATATATATATATATATATATATTAGTTGGCTAATTAATTTCTTTCTATTTTAAGCAGAGATGGGGTCTGCTCTTGCTCAGGCTGGTCTCAAACTCCTGAGCTTAAACAATCCGCCCACCTCTGCCTCCCAGAGTGCTAGGATTACAGGCGTGAGCCACCATGCCTGGAAAAATTTCAATACAATAATATTCTCATCTCTCTTGTGCATTAGCTAAAAAAGAAATGGAGCTACTTGAAACATTTTACATATTAATTCATTTCCAAGGCAGTTATTAGTTTGGTCCTAATAGAATGAAGATGTTACTTATCATTAAAAATCACTAGTGATGTTGAGCATTTTTAACATTTATTGGCCACTTGATTTTCTTTTTCTTTCAATTGCCTGTTTGTGTCCTAATTTTTCTATTAGGTCGTTCTTCGTAGCTCATTTATTTACACGCCTGTGTGCCTCATCAGTCTGGGAGCTCCGTGGAGACACCTGTATCATATTTCTTTCTCTATCCTCGGCTTAGTACACTGTTTGGTATTTAATTTAGGAAATGTTTATTTAAATTGAACTGAATGATCCTAATTCATTCTCATAAGTACTTGGAAACTTTAACATTATTACTTCTGTTTTACAGAGGAAGAAGGTAAGACATAGGTGGAGTAATTTGCAGTCACACACTGCTAAATGGTAGCATTGGGAGGGTTACCCAGGACTTCTGATTCTAAACCACAGATTTACTGAAATTGTCCCCCATCCTTTCCAGAGATGTTTGCCTGGGCCCCGTCTTCCTCACGATAGAAGTGAGCAAAGAGCAATCTCCGCTAGGCGCATGCGTCCTTTCCTTTTCCCACAGTAGGTACAGAGACACATCCTCTTACGCTTTGCTTTCCTTTTGGCCCCCGCGACTCGCCATCGTCCGTGCGGAGGCGATCGCTAGTTGAAGTGATGGCGACTGGAACGCCAGATTCTCAAGCACGGTTTGGTCAGTCCGTGAAGGGGCTTCTCACCGAGAAGGTGAACACCTGTGGTACTGACGTGATCGCGCTCACCAAGCAGGTGCTGAAGGGCTCCCGGAGCTCCGAGGTGAGCTGGGAGTCAACTCGCCCGGCCTAATGCTCCGGGAACTCGCAGTCTTTCATAGCTGTGGAAGAGGGTCGCGTTGCATCCTGGGGCAAGAGTAGGGCTCGTTAGCCGAGGGTGCGTGTTGCATTCTGGGTTGTGTAGTCTCTTTGCTTAGGGTTAGCGTCTTGAGGGCGAAGGGAGAGAAACAATGTCTTGGGAATCTGCTTTACAACAAAGATAGCTGCGAGAGGGCAGATGAGCGATGTTCCTAACCAATTCCTCATTCGTTTTTCGGCGTTGTCTCTAGTGCAGATTGGTTCCTTTCAGCCCCCAAATTCCTCATGGTTTTGCCTTCAAATAACCCACATTCTTTCCACACTTTTGTGCATCACCTGTCTATGGGCTTATTCTTTTCTTATTTGTCTTTCTGGGCACATTCTTGGTTTTCTGTTTCTTAGATTAGCTTTCTCCTTTCCTCTGTTTTCTCCTTCTCCATACTCTAGTTGGTTCCGTGGATGGAATTATTTGATAGGTTTTCTCCCCAGAAAGTTTTATATATGTACTCCCTGTCTCTCTCCAAAAACAGACCTATCTGTTGAACTCCTACATAGATTCCTGTTCACTCAACAGGAATGAAAATATATGTCCACACAAAGATTTGTACATGTTCTTAGCACCTTTATTTATGATAGCGCCAAACTGGAAATAACCCAAATGCCCATTGACAGGTGAATGGATAAATGAAATGGGACCAGTGACCCAGCCATTCCACTCCTAGTTATTTACCCAAGAGGAATGAAAGCATATGTCCATCATTGTGTTAGATAAAGCAACCCAGCACATACCATCTAAGATTTCCAGTTTTGGAACATCTTGAATACATCTGTAAAACAATCTGAGCCTAGAATCTTTTTAGATTTCTATTAATTACCCCTCTTCCCCACAGGCTTTTTCACACTCTTGCTCATCATTTACCTCAATAAAAGTTTATCTTATCTACTTCAATAAGTGTTTCCTATTTTGAACTTAGTTTTCATAGTGATAGCAGTTCTTTCTGTCTTTTTACTTATATTTCATTAGTTTCCATATTGTTTCATTAAGTTATGTAGTTGCAGTATCAAGCATTGTATGTCCACAAGTCTTTTGACTTGTATATAAGTTTTTATGGGACCTTTACTCATATTAGTTTGGAGCCCAGTAGACTTGTATTTACAGAATTGGCTTTAGTGTTGTGTCCTTTCTTAGCTTTTATTGATAGTGACTACAAAAAACAACTGTATGAAGAAGATGTTTGTATTTACCATAATACTATTGTTGAAGTTAGTGACCTGGTGATCCCAAACATGATTTGTGTGAGGTCTCATATGATACACTGTTTTTTATAATTCAGTATCAGAGGAAAGTTTATCTATTCTGAAGAACTTAATCGTGCCTGTTGCCAAGCAATAAGAATTATGCAACTTACTGTGTTTCACTTTTTGCCTTGGTTGCATACAAGTTCCTATGTCAGTCTTAGTGGTAAATATATTTACTTCTCCTTTCATGAATTCTAGATTCTATTTCTGTTTTTTAAAAAATCTGCGTATGTGTGTAAATATACACATAGTTATAAATTGTCTTGAATCTATTTTTGGGAAAATATATAAATTTAAAAAAATAGATAGTATTCATAGGTAACTACCTGTAAATATTGAACATATTCATCATAACAAACTTACATTTATTGATTGATATTTTGAGACAGGGTCTTATTCTATTGATTAATTGAGACAGGATCTTACTCTGTTGCCCAGGCTATAGTGCAGTGGTGTCATCATAGCTCACTGCAACCTCAAAATCTTGGGCTCCAGTGATCCTCCTGCCTCAGCCTCCTAAGTAGCTGGAAGTACAGATGTGTGCTACCATGCCTGGCTAATTTTTCTATTTTTTGTAGAGACAGGGTCTTTTTTTTCATTTATTTTTTTCAGCATATTATGGGGGTATGAATGTTAAGGTTACATATATTGTCCTTGTCCCCCCTCCCTCCGAGACAGGGTCTTGGTATGTTGCTCAGGCTGCTCTTGAACTCTTGGGCTCAAGCAATTCTCCTGCCTCAGCCTTCCATAGTGCTAGGATTACAGGCATAGGCCACCATGCCTGGCCAAAACTTACATTTATTGACCATTTAATATGTGCTGGAAACCACTGTCTTTTATGTAGTTTAATCATTAAGTCTTCAGATTTGCTACTTAAAAGAGGTACTTTTCTTACAGAGAGGATATAGAGAGGAATTTAACTTGTTCAAGATCACACCTAGCTAGGAAGGAATAGAGCTAGGATTCAAAGCTAGGCATACTGGTTCTAGGCTCACACTCTTGGATACTACCTCCTGTGTGGTACTGGCTGGATTAAATGGCCAAAAAGCCACTATGCCACCATTGATTGCCCCAGTGTAGCTTGCTCCTTCCTGTTCCTCCTCCTTATGAACTTTTCATGTGGGCTGCTTCTGAGTAGATTTATTATTTTTATTTTTTATTTTGGCATATATTCTGAGTAGATTTAGATTGGGTGCTCAGTGAATGGTGTGGATTGAGTGAAACTGAAATCAATCCAGCTTTCTGGGACAGGGTTGACATATCATCTCTCAATTTTCTGGACTTCATCTTTTTATTGGATCTCTTAAATGGCACTTATCAACTTACAATATTGCTTTGTTCTACTGTTACTTATGTACTTTTGCCATTTCCTTTACTAGACTGTGAAGTTATTAGAGTGTCTTATTAATTTTCAATCCCTCTTATCCCATAGAGCATTACCTCTTGAACAGTCTCCATTTGGGTATTTTGTTTATTAACTGACAATTTGCATGTGTAAAACACTCATTCCACAGCATTTATTTAACAAATATTTATTGTGTGTCTGCTATGTTCCAGAAACTGTTCTAAGTACCAGGGATAAACAAAACTAAATCCCTATACTAAGGAACCTTACATGTTAGTGAAGAGACAGACAGTAAACAAATGAAACATAAAAACAATCAAGTGGTGGTAAATGCTGTGAAGAAAAATAAACCTAGGAATGAAAGTGATGAAGTGAGTGACGAAAGGGTTTATTTTAAACAGGGTGGTCAGGGAAGGGCTTTCTGGGAAGGTGACATTTGAGCAGACAGTTGGATGAAGTGAGCTAGCTAGCTCTGTTGATATCTAGAGGCAGAGAGTTCAAAGTGGTGGAAATGACAAAGGCGAAGGCCTTGAGATGGGAATGTGTGCCAGGAATGTAAGGAGGCCAGTATGTCTGGAGCACAAAGTAAGGGAAAACACACTTACGCCCACAGCACAGTGAATGCTTATGACTAATAGGCTACTCTCTTGCACCCCTGCACTTCTGCCCCTCCATTTGAGTTGTGTACTTAGTGAGGGTCCAGTGTATTTTTTCCTGAACACAATGTATGCATGATGCTTATACTTGCAATTGCAGCTACATAATTTAATAAAACAATATGGAAAATGATGAAATCTTAGTGTTAACAAAAAGGGTTTATAGGTATATTCAGGATGTTCTTCCACTTTAAAACAAGCCTGGAAATCTTAAATGATATGTAATATGTCTGGTAGTTTATGTAAGAAAGTGATGCAGAGATCCTTTTGTAGTTCATAAGCGTGATGGTTGAGTGTTCATGCGCATGTGAGAGATGTACCTCCCTCAAACTTTGTTATGACGTCGACACATTGCCCATCTGACATGGAAGGAAAAAAAAAGGGAAAATGATGCAGAATGCCAATGAATATATCATCAACGAAAAGACCTTGGCCTTATAACAGCCCCTCCATTACAGGCAATCACAAGTCTCATCACGTCTGTTTTCTATGACATCCCTTTTCTTTCCCCCAGTTGCCACTTCTGTGTTTCTGGCCACCCTCATTGTTTGCCTGGAGTTCTGCAGTGTCCTTCTAACCAGTCTCTGTCCTTGTTCCCCACTCTAGTGCATCTGCTTACTATACTTCTCAAACAATAAATCTGATCATGCCACTTTTCTGTAAAATTACACATAAGATGAATTCTAAACCCTAATGTTCAGGTCAGCTAAGAAGTCACTTCTTTTAGGAGCCCTCCCTGAACCTCTGCAATGGGTTAGACGCCCTGCCTCCCTGCATGTTCCCAGGGCATCCAGTGCTTCCTCATCAGTACTTACTATAAGGTGCTTGCTGTAAGTGCCTTTGTCCCCTCCAGATGGTGAGCCCTGTTAGTACTCTTTTCCAGAGTCCTGGCATATTGTAAGCACTCAATACTTTTTTTTTCCAGAATAAAATAAAAATAGTTACGTATGGTTCCAAAAGGCATGAGAATGAAAGAAACAAAACAAAACAACAACAACAAAAAATAGTTACGTATGGGATGGGGGAATGAACGGAATGGAAGGGACAGAGATGGAAAGCCCTACTTTATCGTTTTGGCTTTAGAAGCACAGAAGGGTTTACTAATTTTAAAATTTAAATTAAAAAGAAAAATGAATAAATAAATGTTGCTGCCCAGGGGCAGGAATCTCAGAACTGCAGCAATGCTGAAGTTCCCAGTTAATTTGAAGTGCCAGCCTTCTTTTCCAAGAATCTCTGTGGCCCTACAGAACATGGAAGGGTTGGTAGGATACACGTAACAATAGCTCCTTTTATTATGCTTGTGTGGCTGGATTTAGGTATGCCAGAAGCAGAATGCAGCCTTAGGCCAGAAATCTCTGCTGGTCTCTGCCTCCAAGTGCAGTCTCTGTCAGCTCTGCCTTGACCCATGGGCCACCCAGCTGAATCCAGAGTTTAGTGTTTCTCTCTTGATCTCAGGGCCCATTGAACTCAGTGACCTCATTAAAATCTCCCTTGAACATTTCTCCTTTTCTCTTCCCTGGCTCCATCTGGCTGTCTTTTATTGGGTGGGTGGGTTGGGGGGTTCCCACTTTAAGCCTCAAGCTTCTTCTCATGCCTCCCCCCTTCATTCCATTTCTAAACAGCTATATTCCTTCTGACCTTTTCAGCCAGGTCCCAATTCCTGCTCCCTCACTCCTCTCAAAGCACCACAAATCTCAAATCTGCCTTTAAAGAATCAGAAGGTAGGTTCTCTCACTGGGCTTGTGGAGCCAAAGGTTTTTATAGACTTCTCTCAGCACCTGATGAATACACTCTGCAGAGAGCTCAGCAGTTAGGAAACACTTGATTTCTCATGTGGTAGCTTTTGGAACAGATGTCAGGCTCATGCCAGAACCACTATAGTGTCAATGAAATTAATTTTCAACATGAACAAATGGAAAATTATCCTCCATTACATTTTTTTTTTCTTTTTTTATTTTTTGGTGCCCATATAGGTAATTATCTCCATTACATTTTGAGTGTTTGTGGTTATGTAGGGTGGAAGAGTGGGTGCGGGGAGCAGAGGGTAGTGGTATAACAGCTGCAGAGAAGATTATAGGAAGTTTGGGAATTTTGATTATTACCATTTTATTTTTGTCTTCCAGCTGCTAGGTCAGGCAGCTCGAAACATGGTACTGCAGGAAGATGCCATCTTGCACTCAGAAGATGTAAGAAACAATTTTTCTTTAATTTTCATTTTAGCATATTATGGGGCACTAATGTTTAGGTTACATATATTGCCTTTGCCCCATCCAAGTCAGAGCTTCAAGCGTGTCCATCCCTCAGACAGTGCGCGCCACACCCATTAGATGTGAATATACCCATCCCTTCCTACCCCCTCCTATCTGCCTGACACCTGATGGATGTTACTACTATATGTGCACTTAAGTGTTGATCAGTTAATACCAATTTGATGGTGAGTACATGTGCTGCTTGTTTTTCCATCCTTGTGATACTTCACTTAGTAGAATAGAGATGATTTTTTTTTTATGATTTGGGTTTTATTACAGTTTGTGTGGCTATAAGGAAGTGGAATGTTGTGTTTCTCTCTCTTTTTTAATGCAGAGTTTAAGGAAAATGGCAATAATAACAACACATCTTCAGTACCAGTAAGTATGCCCTTTCCAGCAACTACTTGCTGCGAAATCATTACCCTTGGCCTGGTTTCATGGCCTATGTGCTTCAGCACATTTTCCCGTGGAGGCAGGAGTGGGAAAGGTGGAGAAGATGCCTGAGACTCAGAAGCAGTTGGAGTAGGCGGTGAGATCAAGAGCAGGGCCAGCTTCCATGAACCTCCCATGTTATTTAATAATTTGAGGGCTCCCCAGAGGGAGAGACTCACATAAAGGCAAGGCCCATGCCAGGACAACTGGTTTATCAGAATGATAAATATTCTGTGATAAATATCACTATGAGAGAATTCATCAGTATTAGACTCTTTCCTGGGGAGTCTGCTCCTCTGTGAGGGAATCACGTGTATCCTACATTTCCACATGTGACACAGCACCAGCTACATATAAATCATCTAGGAGTTTTCAAAATCTAGAGACTCTTCTCCGTTGTAACTTTGCATAAAATTATAATTTGCTTTTCATCTTATTTCATGTCTTATATTTTATGTAGCTGATATTATACTTACGTATCTATTGGAAATATATGGTTGGGAATTTAACTCTTGATATTTAAATAGCTGTTTGTCATATTCATTCTTTGGGGATCTACATCTTAGGTATGTGACCATTTGAATCTGTACACTCAGATGTAATTTGAGCCATGCATGTGGTTTGATGGGCCACATCCCTCACTCTGAAAACATATTATTACCTCTTTAGGTTTAGAATCCTTTTCAGCAGCTCCGCACTCAGATAGGAAACGCTGTTCAATAGTTAGGATAGGATTGACAGAAATATAGAATGTGACATAAGCTGGAAATTTGTTCTGCCTATGCTGTATACGTCTGACCAGTTTACTGGGTTTTCTTATGTTTATTTTCCTCTTTCCTTTTCTGATTTAGGCAAGAAGCTATTCAGAAGAAGTAAGTAAACCCAAAGGCAGGAGAGTAGGAAACCAACTGAAGCAGGCTGGGAGGAATTATACTGCTGGGCCCAGGACCTATATAAAACTCTGGTTAACACATGTCCTTAAATTGACATAAGCTCTGGAATAGCTCTTTCAGGATTTAAAGAATACAATGTATTTCAAAGGCATGCAATGACTCAATTCACTGCTAGTATAGGCTTTCTAAAAGTTACAGGGTATAAATGCCAACCTTAAGGAGTAGAAAGAAAACCTTTTACATTAGTAATATTCATGAAGTAGAGTAAATGTGCTAAAACCATTAAATAGCCTTGTTTTCTAAAGTGGTTTAAATGTGTCCCTTGCCATATTGTTTATACTACTAAGTGGCATTGCAAACTTTTCTTCACAGTTTAAACACTTCTGGGACCCAAGTGGACCAATATAAATTTTTATTCAGCTGCAACAGTATTTATACAGTAAAATATAAATAGTTTGTACAAAGAGATGTCTTCATTATTCATTTCAGATAAACTCTTTCTCTATTCTAATTTCTAGTGTTGAACAGTCGTCAGATCTACAAGACCAGTTGAATCATCTGTTGAAATAAAATGGCATATAAGAGCACAATAGCACTTCTTTGCCTAATGCTGAGGAGGAAATATCTTACACAACCATAATGCTCTGGGTTTAGTTTTCTATTTTCTTCTCCAAAAGTTAAGTTATCAAAGATTTGTGTTGATGTACAGTTTCTCCTGAAAAGAAACTAGGTGGGGGCTGAATTTTGGAAACAGTTTGCAAATTGGACTAACCCATCCTCTTCCTGAATTTTTTAAGTTACTCTAATTGTTTAAATTAAAAGACATCTTAGTTTTTCCTATAGAATTGTTTTTTAGACAGGATCTTGCTGTGTTGTCCAGGCTGATCTGGAACTCCTGGCCTCAAGCAGTCCTCCTGCCTCAACCTCCCTAGTAGCTGGGATTATAGGTGCCAGCCACTGTGCCCAGCTTCAGAACTTTTAATGTGTCAAAAGCCATATTTTCTAAATTGCAATACTTAAGCAAATACTGAGTATCAAAAATGGATCTATTGTGAACACATGAGAATGATTAACATTCTTTTAAAAGACTTTTAAAATTTTAATCATTCATTTAGGAAATATTTTAATTTGATGGTCACCAAATGGTGATAGGTAATACCTGGTTGTTTTCTTTTCTACTAACTCAGAGGAGATACTTACTTTATTTGTTGTAGCAAATTCCTAAATGAAAATTAGGCAAGTGGTATCATATCTGCCCAGCTGCAGCCTCTTGCCTTGACCTGCATTCCTAGCATTTCTTTATTGTTGTTATCTTTGATTAAGTGACCTTGAGTTCATTTTGTACTTTTGCTAATCATCAGCAAATTCATTTGTATGATGTTACTGCCAAATGTGAAGGCAATTGATTGATCATGAATTATGAGTGATTGTGGCATGGGATTGTGCAATGGTAAAATCCTTAACATTTCGATTTATGTTTATTGAATTCATCTTGTTAAATGATAATTACCATGAGTCTGTTGTCAAACCTGAATATCTTTGTTTGAATTTAAAATGGAACTCTATCTTGTTGTAGTTTAGGTCTTTACTTAGTAAGGGAATTGAGAGAAAGCTAACATAAGAAAATAGTGTTTTCACTGAAAGAAAAAAGAGCAACCCTAGAAAGATATACACCTATTATGTACTCATAATAAAAAAGAAAAAAGAGCAAATAAGAGTCAGTTCATTTTAATTCATATTGTTATTGTCAAATCAACTAAGCATATCTGATTACATTTCTGTCTCATTATTCACATGGACATTAACTTAAGGTTAAAAAAACTAGCTGTGGGCCTGGCGTGGTGGCTCATGCCTATAATCCTAGCACTCTGGAAGGCCGAGGCGGGTGGATTGCTTCGAGGTCAGGAGTTCGAAACTAGCCTGAGCAAGAGTGAGACCCCCGTCTCTACTATAAATAGAAATAAATTAATTGGCCAACTAGTAAATATAGAAAAAATTAGCCAGGCATGGTAGCATGCCTGTGGTCCTAGCTACTCGGGAAGCTGAGGCAGTAGGATCACTTGAGCCCAGGAGATTGAGGTTGCTGTGAGCTAGGCTGACGCCATGGCACTCACTTTAGCCCGGGCAACAAAGTGAGACTCTGTCTCAAAAAAAAAAAAAAACAAAACTAGGCGTGCAAGGTCTGCAAAGGCATTCACTTATGCATTAATTCTATAAACATGTATCAGTAATTATAATATTAATGTAAATGGGCTCAATTTACCTTTAAAAAGAAAGGGCACCAATTTAGGAGACAAAACTTGGTCTAACCATTACAGGAAACAAATAAATACTTAAGATAACAAAATGAAGGTAATGTCTAAGTTTTCTTTATGCTGGAACAAATATTAAAGAAGCAATGATTGCTTATGTTGTATCTGTTCAAATAAATTTCACAATCAAAATTTTAATAGTGAATAAAGATACAAGTTAGTCACCGAATTTAGTCACTTCAAAGAATATAACTCCAAAATACATGAAGGAAAAGTAGCAAGAAATGTGAAAACAGGTGGAAATGTATACATATACATAATTCAATGGTTTATTTTTTGTAGAAATAAACAACATACATGAATAAATGGTGATCAAAAATATGGAAACATGGCCGGGCGTGGTGGCTCTCTGGGAGGCCGAGGAGGGCAGATTGCTCAAGGTCAGGAGTTTGAAACCAGCCTAAGCAAGAGCGAGACCCCGTCTCTACTATAAATAGAAACAAATTAATTGGCCAACTAATATATATAGAAAAAATTAGCCGGGCGTGGTGGTGCATGCCTGTAGTCCCAACTACTCGGGAGGCTGACGCAGCAGAATCGCTTGAGCCCAGGAGTTTGAGGTTGCTGTGAGCTAGGCTGACGCCACGGCACTCACTCTAGCCTGGGCAACAAAGTGAGACTCTGTCTCAAAAAAAAAAAAAAAAAAAGTATGGAACAGAAAATTACAGTACACATTGATTGAGAGATCAGATATTTTTAAATACATGAAAAAAATTCCATTGCAAAGTCCTATGTACGTGATGGATACCACAAGGCAGTACTAGATAAGAAAAAGTTATGCATGTTTTTTAATCCTTATTAGGGATAAAGGAGTGGAACCAGGGGAGCGGGGAAAGATTTATTGAACCTGTTAAATCTCCCCATAATATGCCAAATAAAAAATATAAAAAAAAAAAAAAAAATAGGTAGGAAAAATGTTTCTGTTTTTAATTTAAATATATAAATTATTTTTCTCTAGAAATTACCTTTTCTAACTAGCTCGGCGTTCTTAGGTTTTTGTTTTTTTTTTTGAAGGCTTTATGGTTAATTTGTAGAATGAAAAGTAAAAGAAATAAAATAGAATACTAACTAACTGAAAACAAATTATGAAAAGGATATAAAACCATTAATTAGTTCTTATAGATTAAATGTTCAAATGTCAGTTCAACCAATCGGGTTCCACCAGGAAAAGAGACAAATCACTACAATCTAATAATGAGTACGAATATGTACAAATCAGTTAGATTTGAAAAGCATGTCTGCAGGCTTGCTGCTGAAATGATAATAGGAAAAGGTTTCTGGTTCCTAAAAGGATGTATATAAAAACTGGCATTAAAAGACACAATCAGTGTCCAAAGTGGGATGAAGCAAGCATAACGTTCATATATTGTCAAAGATAACAATTAAAATTAGGTTTGGCGGGCCTGTGACAGGTTTCCTACATTTCTAGAGTGCACAGAACAAATCATTTCATTATATCCCAGGATTAAAGAAATGATAGTAAGATGCTATTCCTTTGATGAAATAAATTATTTTATCTTAAAAAAAAAAGCAAGATGATGGTAAAAAAATTAGGTGATTCTTTTACTAATATGGATGTAGCCGGCACGGGCCATGCTTTAATCAGCACGCTGGAGGCCAGGGGTAGACGCTCAAAAGGTTCAGGAGTTCGAAACCAGCTGAGCAAGAGGAGACCCCCATCCTACTAAAAATAAGGAAAATATATATGGCAACTAAATTTAATATGTTTAATATAGCGGTGCATGTACATCAGGTACATTCCCCAGAGCCAGTCGTCGCAGCACGCGCTGAACACATGGACTCTTGAGCCCAGGAGTTGAGGTGTGCTAGAGTAGGCTTACGCCACAGCACTCTGGCCGGAGTAAACAGAGTATATAGACTCTGCTCAAAAAAAAAAAACTAATTATATATGCTCCAGTAGATCTATATATGGATATTAGAAACATACTGAAAAAAAACTTAAGAATTGATAAATATTTTGGAAATAATAATCAGTAATTCAATATGCTAATAGTGAAAACAATAAGGCACAAAAAACACCATTACCTAGATAGAAATTAATAAGAAATGGTATATATCACTATAATATACACCAAAAAGGCATTTAAAATTCAACTTTGATTTCAAATAAAAAAACAACAAGAATTTATTCATTCTAATGTATATTATTATTCTTATTATTAGCTTTTTATTTTTATTATTTTTTTTTTTGAACAAGTCGCGCTGTGTGGCCAGGCTGAGTGAGTGCCGTGGCGTCGCCTAGCTCACAGCAAACCTCAAACCCCTGGGGCTAAAGCGATCCTCCTGCCTCAGCTCCATAGCTGGGTACTATAGCATTGCACCACCCATGCCAGCTACTAATTTGTTATATATATTATTTGGCCAAATTAATTTCTTTCGGTTTTATATAGAACGGTCTCGCTCTTGTCAGGTGTTTCGAACTCCTGACCTCGAGCAATCCGCCCGCCTCAGCCTCCCAGAGTGCTAGGATTACAGGCGTGAGCCACCGCGCCCGGCTTATTTTATTTTTTTATTTTATTTTTATTTTTATTTTTTTTTATTCAGGGCTTCCTCTTCTTGGTAATGAGTATATTTTAAAACCCAAGAACCAATGTAATGTTTGATGAACAAGAGAGAGTCATAGAACCCCAGAATATTAGAGTTGTTGGGGCCTTAAAAGTTAACTAAATTTTGGCCCCATGTTTTACAGATGAAAAGACACAGGGAGATGAAATGACTTGCCCAAGTTCACTGAGTTTGTCAGGAGGTCTTTTGACTATTAGTCTAACTCTCTGTTACCTGTTATTTCCCTTATAAATAGAAACAAGAGTGTCACCTGTCATTTCTAACCTTTAACATAATACTAAAAAACTCTTAGAAAAGGAAAGGATCTTGGGAGTAATCAAATCCCTCCATTTACCTCTGCTGCTCCCTGTCTGGTGAGTAATCATTCATCGGCTCTTCTAGCTTCTGCCCGAATGTATCCAATGTTTGGGGAGTCCTTTACTTAGAGATACTGGCCCTTCTGGAAAACCTCCACTTCTTGAAAGATGGTTCTGTATCATCAACCAAAATCTGCCTTTCTGGGACATCTTGGGAGTGTCACACCAGTAGCTTTCAAAGTGGAATGTGTGGCCATATGCACAAGGACCTTCCTTGGAGGTAAGGGAAGAAAACATGTAAATTTCTATGTATGTTTCTTTTTATCTTAGAAAATTAGTTTATGCTAACATTTAAAATATGGCTTGAGGCTGGGCGTGGTGGCTCACGCTTGTAATCCTAGCAATCTGGGAGGCCGAGACGGGTGGATTGCTCTAGGTCAGGAGTTGGAAACCAGCCTGAGCAAGAGTGAGACCCCGTGTCTCTACTATAAATAGAAATAAATTAATTGACCATCTAAAAATATATATACAAAAAATTAGCGGGGCATGGTGGCGCATGCCTGTAGTCCCAGCTACTCGGGAGGCTGAGGCAGTAGGATCACTGGAGCCCAGGAGTTTGAGGTTGCTGTGAGCTAGGCTGATGCCATGGCACTCTAGCCTGGGCAACAAAGTGAGCCTCTGTCTCAAAAAAATAAAAAATAAAATAAAATATGGCTTGATATGAGAACCCTAATTGGTCTATCTAGTATACAGATATATAGTATACCTGTCATTTAGAAGGGGTGAAAGTAAGACAAAAAACAAAAAAACCCCACAATCAGAATGTATAATGGTCACAGCCAAACAGGCCAGCATATCAGATACCATGATGTGGTATCTGTGAGGGAAAAGTGAGAATAACTCAATTTAAGTTGATAGTGGTTTGCTTTATTGCAGCTTATCTGTGTGTGGTTAGGTAGATTGAAGGGTTATCAGGTGAATCTTGTAATTAAACCACAGATTGAAGATAATACAACAAAACAAGCACAAGTGAAAATGATAGAGTCCTTAACTTGCCACTCATCTGCCCCTTTAAATCGCTGCTTTTCTAAAGGAACTCATTTTATGGAAAGACTATTTTGAAAATTAATATTTAGGAGTATTTTCACCATTATATGATTGCCAAAAACAACTAAGTGATATTTATAAAAACACTAAGTTTTACGCACTTAATAGTTGGAAATATTCTAACCTATGAAAATATTCCAACAAAGATTGTTTCCATGGGTTTAATTTGTGGAAAATATAAAAAGACAACACCTTCCTATTAAACAACTAATTGACATCAGGGAAGATGAAAATTTAGTAGCTGGATTTCAACAAAATTTTTGTGTGATTGGCAGATGAGATTGAAAAATGAGTATAATTTAGTGAAGGAGTCCATGTCTTCCATTTAGATATCCTTTCACTTGGATTTCCCTAACTCTTTACCATCCTGATGACTAGAATGCTTGTTACAATCACAAAACAAGATAAGATACACAAATATAATGGTGGAAGTAAAAATTTTAATATGCTTTCTGCAAAATGAAGTGACAATACCTAGAAAACACATATGAATTGACCAAAAATTACTAGAGGTAAAAATTAATTTATCAAAGTTGCTTTTCCTAAATACATGGAAATAGGCAGAGAACAGCCACAAAGTATAACGGTTCGTCTACATGACAGTCTGGGAAAGGTGGTATAGGGAGGGAGAACAGATCCGTGGTTGCCTAAGAGCTGTGGGTGGGAGGAGGAAGGACAAAAGGACAGGAAGACACTTTGGGGCGAGAGACCTGTTTTAGTTTCAATTGAGGTGATATATACGTTTGTCAGAACTCACAGGACTGTACACTAAAGAAAGATAAATTTTACGGAATATATATTATACCTCAATAAACCTGACTTTAAAAACTGGATTGAGAAAAGGTGATTTCATTCCCCAAAAGGGAAAAAAATCATTACATATGTGGGTGTTCACTGAAGGCAGAATACCAGATTATCAATGAAAATCAGTGGAGCAATAAAGGAAGATGCTGCTTAGTAGTAATGTCATCCTCCTGGCTGGAAAGACTCCAGGGCTGCCAGGCTGCCAGCGGGCGCGGCCGGGAGGTCAGGCGTGGGTGCAGCCCGCGGGGCGGGGATCTGCCGGCCGGCCAGCCCGGGGCGGGGCCTGGGGAGCCGGCTGCGGGAGGCCGCGGTCCTGGAGCCCCCAGGCGGAGGAGACAGTGAGTGGGCAGCTCCCAGCCCGGCCCGGCTCCGCGGGCGTCTGCCATCCTCTGAGCTGCGCCACGAGACCTTAGTCCTCCCCGCGGCCCTCGGCCCGCTGCCTGCCCCTTAACCACCTCACTTTCTCGTGGTGCCCCTCCCCGTCCTCCTCTCCATCCTTTCAGCTACCTTTCCCCTCCCGACAGTGGCCGCCCCCCGGGACGCTGAGATCCGGGAGTACGTGCAGATGAGCGCTGTAGGGCCTGGAACGGCGAGGTGCGGCCCAGGCCTAGGGCAGCCCGGCCGGCCCGGGACTCCTGGAGTGGGGACTAGGCAGAGTGTGGCCTTTGAACTTTGGCGGGAACAGAGGTGGGCCAAGTGGGGATGGGGTGAGGATGGGGGCCGGGAGCTGCAGACGCCAGCTGCAGCTCTTTCCCCTTCTCACCTCTCCCTCCACTCTGGGCCGCTGGGTCAGACCTACTACGGGCAGGTGCTGAAGACGTCGGCAGACCTCCAGACCAATGCCTGTGTCACCGCAGCTAGACCGGTCCCCAAGCACATCCGGGAAGCCTTGCAAAATGTACATGAAGAAGTAGCCTTGAGGTAGAGTGCCCTGTCCGGCCCCCAGGAAGACCCCAGACTGCAGCTTTCTGGAAAGACAGTGATGCTAGTCAATAGGGAACTAACCCATCACCACCAGTCCACCCGGCTTGCCTTGTCTATTGTAAAAATCCTGAAGGTCAGCACTGAACATCCTCCTGCTCTATTTAAGAAGCTCCAGTGAGGCCTCTCGTGGTGGCCAGTCCCTGTTTTCTGTGCCCACATATTACCTCCCTAGTTAAATACACCAGAGGACGGAATCTTACATGTCTTCCTCAATAGCTAGCACAGTCCTGGGCCTGAATTAGATGCTAGGCGAATGCCTAAATGTATTCATTGAGCAAATATTTTAGATGGCTTATTTAAGTCTTAGTATCTACCACAGTGCTCAATGCTACTGTGTTAAAGCAGATAGAGTCCTAGCCTTCTCAGGCATCCAGTTTAGTGGTGCAGACTAAACACCTAAAGAGAAATATGAGTGAAAGATGAAAGGAAAGGAGGGAGGTAGGAAGGAAGAAAGGAAAGATGTATAAGGTTTAGTGGTTCCATGTCTTATAGTCCCTGGGGAAAACATATGTGTCTTCCATTTCCCAGGTATTATGGCTGTGGTCTGGTCATCCCTGAGCATCTAGAAAACTGCTGGATTTTGGATCTGGACAGTGGAAGTGGCAGAGATTGCTGTGCGCTTAGTCAGCTGGTTGGTGAGAAGGGACACATCACTGGAATAGACATGACCAAAGATCAGGTGAGGCAATGATTTGGAGGACAAGGAAGAAAAAAATTTCAAAAGCACTTTTTTAGAGATAAAGTTGTTTTCTTTGTGACCCTTCAAAGATAATTTACAAGACTGCTTTATAGCAATGCTCACTTGTGCCACTAGCACTTTGTGTCCTGGAAGCTGAGAACTTTGACAATTAGGGGTTCTTATGGGAGGACACAAAGTCAGAGGCTTGATCTGGTATATGAATATCATGACAGCCAATGGAGTTTGATCTTTTCCTTCCTTCTGCCATCTGTGCTGAATGATTTTTTTATTGAATGAAGTTTGTTTAAGCAAAACACATGTAGCAGGAAGTTTATGTCTCAGGCTGCAGTATCTCCTATGTGTCCACAGGAATCTTGTCTACTTACTCAAAATAATCTGGGAGAAGTAAATTCTGGTAATATTAAATAATAGGAAATTTTTAGGAAAAAAGTAGAATACTTTTTAAAAATTTGATTATCACATCTACATTTTTCTTCCTTTAGGTAGAAGTGGCTAAAAAGTATCTTGACTATCACATGGAAAAATTTGGCTTCCAGGCACCCAATGTGACTTTTATTCATGGCTGCATTGAGAAACTGGGAGAGGCTGTAGTCAAAAATGAGAGTTATGATGTTGTTATGTAGGTCGTTATCCTTACTGCCACAACTATAGTCCATTTCCATTTGAACACACAAATGTCACCACTTTTTGCTGAATTGATTCTCATTTAGGGTATTAAACTAAACTTAGCATGTCTTAATAGAGGGAGGGGGACCTGGTCTGAGCTGCTTGTAGCCCATTGGCAGCAGAACACACTAGGCAAGAGAGAACTTACTTGCAACTTAAAGATAAACCAATGAACCCCAAACACCATCAAGACCACTAAGTCTGCTCCTACCATACACACTGACCTGTTATCTTTAGTAATATTTTCATGGTAAATTATAGGAGTCCATGTTTCTTTTTTTCCTATGAGTTGTTGTGAAATCATGTCCAAGTGACAACCTTAAGAAAGCTGCCTTCGAGGAACTTGGCCTATTTACATGTGGCATAAGAAATGCCTTGTGCAGCAGGAATCTGGTCCCAGGTTTCATCTTGTTGAATGGTGAACATCAGGTCAGAAACAAATAAGAATCATATCTGATATTTTTTTCCTACACATTCAAATTTGCTAATACTTTATAGAGATTCAAAACACTCTGCCTATCTCCTTTATGTTGGGGAAGAGTTGAGTATTGGTAAGAGAGGGGGGAAGCAGGAAGAATCATATAGCTTTGACAAAATGGTATAGCTTTGACAAAAATGGTACAGTTTTAGTCCCTAGAAGCCACCTTTAGGGACTAAAAAGATTTGAACATCTCTGAAATAGTGTGTAGATATGCTTGACATTCCATCTGTTCTTTTTTAGATCAAATTGTGTTATTAACCTTGTGCCTGATAACACGTGCTGCAGGAGGTGTATCAAGTGCTGAAGGTGAGGGGAAAAGTGAGATATCTTTTATCATGGGATCAGGCCTAGTTTGTTTTTTTGAGCCATGATCTCCCCCTATTGCCCCGTATCATCATTGTTCACTGCAACCTCAAACTCCTTAGCTCAAGGGATCCTCCTGCCCCAGCCTCCCAAGTAGCAGGAAGTATAGGTGCTCGCCACCACGTCTGGCTGATGTTTTCTATTTTTGATAGAGATGGGGTCTCGCTCTTGCTCAGGCTGGTCTTGACATCCCAGCCTTAAGCAATTCTCCCACCTGGCCTTCCAAAGTGTTAGGATTATAGACATGAGCCACCATGCTTGGCCAGTCCTGTCCTTTCTTCCTGGAACTGAGAGTTCAAACTCTTTTAGTTTATCCAGAAATTAAAAAGAGATGGCAAAAGGGGGGAGAGGCAGGAATACCCTAGATATGGATTCTTTTCTCTCTCAGCTTATAAAAGGTAATAAATATGAGAGTGACAATTGTCATTGAATATGTTAAGATATTTGCTTTATTGGGTGTTTCTCCTGTTTGCCTCTGTATGTGATCCTAGAATAGCTACTGCAGAGTTGCAGGAACCTTTGGACTGACTACTAAAGGCTGCTATAAATATACTGTCTTCTGTGGCTGGGAGTGGTGGCTCACGCCTATAATCCTAGTACTCCGGAAGGCCTAGGCAGAAGGATCGCTTGAGCTCAGGAGTTCAAGACCAGCTGGAGCAAAAGTGAGACCCCATTTCTACTAAAAATAGAAAAAATTAGCCGGGCACGGTGGTGCGTACCTGTAGTCCCAGCTACTTGGGAGGCTGAGGCAGGAGGATCGCTTGAGCCCAGGAGTTTGAGGTTGCTGTGAGCTAGGCTGTCGCCATTGCACTCTAGCCTGGGCAACAGAGCAAGACACTGTCTTAAAAAAAAAAAAAAAAAGAATATATTCTCTTCTAGCACTTCTAGTTTCTCTGAGTGCTACTTATTTCTTATCTGTCATGATTTCAGATTTTTGGGCAGTTACAGTAGATAGAACTTTTACATTAATTTCCTTTTTTTTTTTTTTTTTTGAGACAAGGACTGACATTTTAATTTTGCTTGGATGAGATCTATAACAAAATGAAGGTAATGTCTAAGTTTTCTTTATGCTGGAACAAATATTAAAAGAAGCAATGATTGCTTATGTTGTATCTGTTCAAATAATTTCACAATCAAAATTTTAATAGTGAATAAAGATACAAGTTAGTCACCGAATTTAGTCACTTCAAGAATATAACTCCAAATACATGAAGGAAAAGTAGCAAGAAATGTGAAAACAGGTGGAATGTATACATTACATAATTCAATGGTTTATTTTTTGTAGAAATAAACAACATACATGAATAAATGGTGATCAAAATAGGAAACATGCCGGGCGTGGTGCTCTCTGGAGGCCGAGGAGGCGATTGCTCAAGGTCAGGAGTTTGAAACCAGCCTAAGCAAGAGCGAGACCCCGTCTCTACTATAAATAGAAACAATTAATTGGCCAACTAATATATATAGAAAAAATTAGCCGGCATGGTGGTGCATGCCTGTAGTCCCAACTACTCGGGAGGCTGAGGCAGAGGATGCTTGAGCCCAGGAGTTTGAGGTTGCTGGTGAGCTAGGCTGACGCCACGGCACTCACTCTAGCCTGGGCAACAAAGTGAGACTCTGTCCTCA